GGGCTGCATTACAACATTGATTGTTCGGATCACTGGTATCTAAGTCTTCCGCAGTGCTATCTTATACTTTGTATTGAAAAGTCGGTTCTTGTTCTGGTCTGCACCTATACAGTATGCAACACTCTCTCTCTCTCACCATTTCCACACATGCCCTCTGCAAGTGCGTCACATTGGTATCGGAGCAGGTTCTCAAACGTCCGCTCCCTCCCTCCCTCCGTCCCCCGCTATCCCGCCATTACGGATAGCTATCGCCAAGTCCATTCTTGCAGCCGCGCCTGGTCCATCAACGCAACCAGATACCTCCGTCACCCAAGCTGGCACCTTTTCTTGACATTGGAGCTTCTCCAGCTGCTGCTGTTTTCCTACAGGCTGTTGTTGCTGACCTCCTGTCATTCGCGCTCCGGTTCGTCCTTCGCCTATCGCTCCTACTAATTCAACTGCCCAGTGAAGCGTCTGGATCGCAGCCACCTCGGCGTCCTGCAGCTGGCGGTGCTGTGACAAATCCATTGACCCTTGTCATTAAGAGAAAGGAGAAGTCGTAACAAGGTCGCTGTCGGTCACCTGAGGAGGGACCATTGACATGTGGCCCTGACATCCCGCCTGTTGACTTACTCCCCCCCTCCCCCAACTTCTCCCTCCTCCCTTCTCGTCCCCCCCCTCTCCCCTGCTTGCTCTCTTCCCCCCGCTGCATCCACTCCCGACCCCATCGGCCCCCCGCCTCGCACGCACGTGCACCCCCAGCAACTGTACCCTAACTCCGCGATCCCGTTCTGACCTCCACTCCTTGCTCACGCGACTTCCCCACCCTCTCCTCAACTCCCCCCGCTACCCCGTAAGACTTGGATCCCCCCCCCTGATCCCCTGAATCTACCCACCCGTATCCCATCGTTCCCTCCCTCCCCTCTCCCCACTGCTCGTTTCATCCGATCTTCCTCGCTCCTCCCATTCCACATCCCTAGCGCGCACGTGCATGCGATCACGACTCGCCCCACTACCCCGCTCCGTTGCCCGCTCCTCCTCTCTTCCTCCTCCCCACCCCACACACACACTACCGATCCCGATCCCACCTCAACCCGACCCCGACTCTGCCTGGATCACACACTCCCTGCTCAGAACTTCCCCACCCTCTCCTCAACTCCCCCCACTACCCCGCAAGACTTGGACTCCCCCCCCTGATCCCCTGAATCTACCCACCCGTATCCCATCGCTCCCTCCCTCCCCTCTCCCCACTGCTCCTTTCATCCGATCTTCCTCGCTCCTCCCATCCCAGATCCCTAGCGCACATGTGCATGCGATCACGACTCGCCCCACTGCCACACTACCCCGCTACGTTGCCCACTCCCCCTCTCTTCCTCCTTCCCCCCCCCCCCCCACACACTACCGATCCCGATCCCACCTCAACCCGACCCCGACTCTGCCTGGATCACACACAATCGCGATTGCATTTGCTTTCCCCCCGTCGCCATCACCCCCATCCTGACTTCCCCCGACTCTTTCCTG